ACCGTGACTGGGCTGGCCCCCACGGTCTTGCACCAGCTCCGGGTGCAGGTTGCACGCAGCTTTGGGCCTGTGGCCAGGGGCGCCTCGGTCGGACTTCGGCTCGCCTCCTTCGGGCGCTTCTTAAGCACGGATCCGTTGGCCATCAACACGGGGGCTGTGGCGCAGCAGTGGGCTCGCGCTGTCTGGGAGGGCTTGCCGCCGCGCGGAGTCCTCCGAGCGTGCCTGACAGACGCCGCAGCGCGCTTGGGCCACCTCCGGCACCCGTGGTCGCAGGCAATCTCCCCCGCGGACGTGGCGCTGCTGACGCTGGGTCGGTGCGGCTGGCGCTTCGAGGACGAGGCCGTTTTGGTCACCGACGCGGGCGCCCGCTTGAACCTGGTGCGCACGGCCCCAAGTCTGGTTGCCCGTCTCGCCCAAGACGCCGCTTGGCGTGCTTCGGATTGCATGGCACTGCCGTGCGAGGCCAAGGAGGTGCGTGACGACCACCGCTGGGTGCAGCCGATCAGCTGGCTGGCCCTGCGGCCGCTGCTGTGGGGATCGGCGCAGTTGGACAAAGCGGCAGCAGAATTCCCTCCAGGCCCTTGTGGGCAACACGTATTGGTGCCAGGAGCGGCTCCGGCGCTATGGCCTCGCAGCGTGCGGGCTGTGCAAGCTGTGCTGGGCTAAGGCTGGCACGATCTTCCACAGGGTGTACGAGTGCGATGCCCATTCCAGCCGCAGGCGGACCGCAGCATCCCCATTTCTGGTGGCGAGGGCCCGGCGGACGCAGCGCGAGGGGCCCTTGTTTGCTGAGCGATTCGCGCGCGGGATCTTCCCGGACCCCCAGCACCTCTGGAGCGACATCGGCTGCCAGGAGTTCGAGATCCATTGGTGGAATCGGCCCAGCTCGGGCCGCCTCGGGGGCATGCTGTTCACTGACGGCTCCGCCTTCGCAGGGCGCCTCCCGGGCATCAGCCGGGCTGGGTGGGCAGTTGTTCAGTGCAACCGCTGGGGCGTACCTGAGGCTGCTGCGTATGGACCGGTGCCGCTGGCCATGTGCTCCAGGCAGCTCAGCCGCGACGGCGAGGATTTCGACATTTTCGCGCTCCCGCTGGTTGCACTGGGGCACCTCGACCTCTTCGTTGACTGTGCTGGGACCGTGGCCGCTCTCAGGCGCGGGCCAGGGGACTCCTCAGGGGACGAGCGGGCACACCTGTGGGGCCCATTCTGGGGTTCCTTCGGGCTCGGGGACTTCACAGTGACGAAAGTCCTCGCTCACGCCACGCACGCCGACGTCGCTGCGGGGAGGGCAACCCACTGGGAGCGCGCCGGCAACGCCGCCGCCGACACGTGGGCCAAGCACGGGGCAGAGTGCCACAGCATGCCCGCGGAGGCTGAGGAGCTCACGCTGACGCTGTACGACATCGCCCAGGAGGCCGCGCGCGGGTCAGGGGAGCTCCACGCGGTCCTGGCCGACGAGGGCACCAAGGACTGCGATGGCTTGGAGGCCCGGCCGCAGGGGCAGTCAGAGGGCGGCGCCGAGGTGGAGCTGGTCGTCGGCGACGGCCCTAGCACCGCGCACGCCGAAGCCAGTGGTGGGCCCGCGGCTGTCGACGGCGGCGGTGTCAGAGGGGCGGCACGCAAAGGATCCGGAGCGGCTTCGCATCAGCTCCGGGCTGCCGAGGCCACCGCTCCGGGCCGCCCGCCCCAGACCCTGGTGGCGTGCCTGAGGTGCGGAGCCTATGGCACGAGATACGCCCGCAACCTGGCAGGCACGTGCCACGGGGCAACCACAACCACGCTCCAGAGCCAGAGAGCCCGCCTGGCTGACGGCCGGCACCCGGGGCATCGGCAGTGCCGAACGTGGGTGCTCTCCACGCTGCGGGGGCCAACTTCGGCGGACCTCGCCGCGTACCTGGGGCCGGACTTCGGCCGCGCACCAGTGGCAGGGCCCACGGTCGGACCCCAGATGGGGAGGGGGGCGCCCAGGCGCATGCTGACCAGGGTTGAGATCTTGGCAGCATACGGCTTGAACGAGGAAGACGTGGAGGCGGCCGTCAGTCGCTGGCGCCAGCGGCGGCGCGCCAGGGCCACGGAGGAGGACGATTCCGACATCGAGGAGTAGGTGAGGCTACGCGCGGGGGCTAGCCTCTCAGCGGCTCCGGCGGGGGCGCCGAGCCGGTCTTTTTCCTGCCGTTTGCTTCCCTTGCGGATTTCCATTCCATTCCATTCCATTCCTGGGCCCAGCGAGGGCCAGCTGCCTGAGCGGAGGGGCCGTTCTGGGATCAGCGCGGAGGCCGCCAGACAGCGCCCTGGCCTCGGGGGCAGGAGAGGGGCCGACGCCAATGGCGCCCCCAGCGTGGGGAAATCCACCATGCTGGGGTGCGGGCGACCGGGAGGGGCGCCGCGCGCCTTAATTGACGGCTCTAGGCAGGGGGAGGCTGACGTCGCTGGGGCGCCCGCGGGCGGCGGCGGCGGCAGTTAGGGGCTCGGGCTGCTGCCGGGCTGAGACCAAGTCCGCCGATGCAAGGTGCAGACCTCTGCTGGCGATGTGGCCGAGGAGGCCGCCCTGTGGTGGGAGGGCGTGGCGCTCATGGCGGGAGCGGCACCGATGGGCGACGGATGGCGCTGGGACGCTGGGAGACTGGGCGGTTCAGCGAGTGCGCGGCAGCGGGAGCCTGGGCTCTCCAGAATACACGCCGCGGTGGGGCAGCGGCACCGGTCTGCGCTCGGGCCGGGGGAAACCGAGGCTGGGCTGGGAGTAACGGTGCCCCACATGGGGGTTCAGCGGCCACCTGTGGGTTATGCCTTGACGAAAACCTGGACAAGCTCGCGTTGTTACGTGAACGTGGGTCCACCAGCCGTCGAGCCAATGGTTGTTGAAGCCGTCCACGGCCGCGGCCGCCAGCTCGGGAGGGTAAGCTTGGGGACGAGGGGGGGGCGAGTGCCCCAGGTGGAGAGGCCAAGTGGAGGAACTCGCGCCAGCAAGGAACCAGGCGGTGGCAAGGCACACGAGGAGCTCAGGGGCCGGGAAAGCGGGGGCTGGGTCGTAACCGCGAGGGCCTGGGGGCAGGGACGGTCAAGGCCGAGTGCGCGCATTCCTTGGTCTTGTAGCCGTATGCGCGCTGGATGACATTGGTGAGCAATTGGCTGGAGCAGTGGGACGGGTCGGCCTGTTTCACTCGGTGGTGCTCGAGGAAGCCCCGCCACAAGGCAGTCTGCACGAAGCACAGCTGGCTGCAGTGTTTGGAGGCACGTGCCTTGCACGTGGGAGCTCAGGAAGGCGGAAGCCAGCGAGTTGGCTGAAGGGCTCCCCGCGGGACCAGCAGGGGGCCGGAGGACTGGGCCTGGGCCCGCGGGCGCCATGTGCGCACTGCGGGCCCGTCCTGCTGGAGGAGGAGGAGGAGGAGGAGGAGGAGGAGGAGGAGGGCGCTGCCGGAGCGCGCCAGCCGCTGCCTCCTCTGCGTCCCTGTCGGCGGGTCGGGGCCTGCCACGCCGACCCCTCTTGGGCCGGGGTGGCGACTGGGACCTCCGAGTGCGGGGGGGCTCCGCGGGAGGATCCATAGGAGCCCCACCGTCGGCGGGTGGATCCACGCCGTCATCGTCGGTCGCGAAGGCGTGGGGGGCAGGGGCCAGCGTGATGCGGGCGTCCTTTGGCGAACCTAGGTAGCCAACAAGTATGGCCCTGTCGCACAGGCGGACAGCGCGAATGTCGCGGCGCAGGGCCAGGTGATGCTGAGCCGTGAAGGCATTCCAGAGGACACGCAGGGGGCGCCTCCGGTTGTCCCCGTCTGGGTCCCTGTCTCCCCTGTGGCAGAGCTGCTCCTGCACGAGGAAGTGCAGCTGCCGGTCCGTGACGCATCCACATACACGAGCACGCACACGCAAACGCACACGCAAACGCACACGCACACACACACACTCACACACACACACGCACACACACACACTCACACACACACACACGCACACACACACACACGTCAAACACAACACATCCACACACGCACACACACACGCAACACACAACACACACATGCACACACAGTCGCACACACACAGACACGCAACATACACACACACGATCAAACACACACACACACACACTTTTGGTGATCGCGTCCTCGCGCGCAGCGACGAGGCGGAGTCACACACACAGACACACACACAGACACACACACAGACACACACACACACACGCAGACACACACAGACACACACAGACACACACACACACACATACACGCAAAAGCACGTGCAAACACACACACACACACACGCGCACGCACTGCAGGCGAGCACACGTCCTGATGATCATCGAGAAGCTCTCAGAGGACCCTATGTGCTCCAGACCATCGCAGCAGAAGCTGTGGACAGACACCCTGGGCCAGGGCCGCCGCTCTTGTGCTTGTTTGAAGGACTCCCACATGGGACTCGAGCAGGCGAGGTTGAACGATCGCGCCGCATCCTCGATGCATCGCCGATGTATTGGCGATGCATCGGCGACGTCGGCGATGCATCGGCCAGGCCATGAGGGAGAAAATCGGGATTTACGCCTCGCCGCACCGCCGAGTGCACCAGCGAAACAACGAGATCCTCCAACCCCACCCGCTCGCACCACATCGGGGGCTCTTGGCAGCCTTGGGCCCACTGCTCCGCCCTCCGACTCCAAAGAGAGCGAGTCGAGACACGGGCGGCTCAAGATCGGTCCCCGGACCTCTCCCGGGGTCCACGCGCACAGATTGTCCGAGCTGCGTCGAGCCATGGCGACGAGGGGGCCCCCGCAGGCCAGCTGCGGTGGCCTCCACTCGCCCTGCCCTGCACCTGGGAGGGAAGGAGGAGGCGGAGGAGGAGGGGAAGTGGGGGGAGGAGAAGGAGAAGGAGAGGCGAAGGAGGAGGAGGAGGAGGAGGAGAACGAGGAGGGGTAGGAGGAGGAGGAGGAGAAGGAGGCCCGGATCTTCACGGCCTCGGGTCCACAGCTCCGCCCTCCGCGGGGCCTCCCCCTCCCGAGGGCGGGCTTCCAGGGCCGGCTTCTCGCTGGCGCAGGCGTGCTTCAGGCTCTGATCCTCCACCACGGAGGGCGCCACCTCGCCTATAGCGGGGCGCGGCGCCCTCGCGTCGAGAAGGAAAGCAGGAGGGGGCCGAACGGTCTTACACCATTCCCCGGGTGCGATGGAAAAGTGGGACTGCGCGGCCAGGAGAATAGTTGTTAGCTGCAGTGAGAGAAAAAAGGATTGATCCCCCCAGCCGTAACCTTTGTACGTTTCAGTTGAGATGTCCCCACAAATGCCCCCACGGGGCTCGCACCCTGTTTGTCTATCAGGGGAAATCTTGAAGCTTAAACTGTGCCCCTTGCCCCCTGCTGACAACAACAACGGCTCCTGCCTGATATTGGGTTCCAGTGTAATGAAGGACCGCGCTATCGCTCGGATACTCCTGGCAACTTATGCAGAAACCGCACTCTCGCATGTGACTTCGTTGCCATATATGAAGATGCCATCTATTCAAACGCTGCGCCCCCGACGTCCAGGCATCGCGCTCTCGCACGAGAACTTCTTCACTCTTTACTCAGGAATAGCGCTCTCACCTGAGGCCTCTTCACAATGTATGAACTTCGCTTGAATGCCCCGCCCGCACGTTAGGGCGAGCCCGCTCGACCCGCCCGTTGGGGTACGCCCGCCCGACCCGCCTGTTAGGGTCCGCCAGCCCGGCCCGCTCGTTAAGGTCCGCCCGCCCGGCCCGCCCGTCAAGGTCCGCCTGCCAATCCTCCTATTTCTCTGTCCTCCCTCTCCTGCTCAATCTTTTTCGTTCTCAATTGTCATATCACCCTTTTGTTCCCCTCTCCTCTCGTTCTCTCCTTCCTTCCCTGCTGGTTTCCTTTTTCCTTTCTCCCTCCTGTTCCTCCTATTTTAGGGGCCGCGCCAACTGCGCGTGGCAGGCATGATATCTGTTGGTCTATCTATAGGTAGATATCATTATTGGTATGTTTATGTATTATTGTTCGTGCTCGAATTATTATTAGTAGTGCGAATATTAGTATTAGTGTTATTCTTATAATAGTGAGAATAATACGATTAATGTTGTTGTTACTATTATTAGTCGTATTATTATTTGTATTCGTAGTATTACTATTATTATTATCCATATTTTCTTGATTAACACACACACACACAAACACACACACACATACACATATATATATATATATATATATATATATATACACATACATCCTGCATGGGCAAAAAAGCGAATGCCCCCCCCCCCCCCCCCCCAGATACCTTCCCCCATGCCGCAAAACCTGCTAAATTTCGCTTTCCGGCCCGACAGGGCCCCAGGATGCTCCAGGCAGCCCTACCATACTCCAGGACGTTCCTAAAAGGCGGCCCGAGAGGGCCCGAAGGGCTCCAGCGAGCCCCAAGAGATCCCAGAACGCTCCCAAAAGGCTTCAAGGACGCCTCCAAGAGGCCGCCACAACACCAAATGACGCCCCGACGCTGTTTCCAAGAGGCCTCAAAGTATTGCCCAGAAGCCTCATGGACATGGCCCCCTCCCCTGCACAAGCCGCACACTCTCCCCGTGCACATCACTCATGTCTTCCCGGCGCCAACGACAGCCAAAGACGCCTCCGTAAGCCCATCAGGGTGCGAAGAGGGCCGCAAGACGGACCTTGCGTCTGGAGTCACCCTCCTCCTCTCCCTGCTCCCCCTCCGTGTCTCCTCGCACCACGTCTGGACGCTGATCGGAAATCGAGCCAGTTTCTCTTGCCTGGAATCTGTTCAAGGACAGGTTGCCGATGCGTGTTTGCGACAGGACGGGGAGGGAGCAGGCACCACCATCACCACCACCACCACAACCAACATCGGAACCGTACTTCCAGTCACCAGGTCCAAGATGCTTCCTATCGCCGGAAGTCGGAGATGTTTCGAGCCAGGGGTGGTGTCACCACCACGGGGAGGCGCCCTGTCACCCCCGCTGCTGGTCCCCCGATCGTGATGCAGTCCTTGCCTCTCCATCCCCTCCTCCTCCTCCTCCTCCTCCTCCTCCTCCTCTTCCTTCTTCTCCTTTTCCTCTTCCACCTTCTCCTCCTCCTCCGGCTCCTCCTCCTCCTCCTCCTCCTGTTTCTCCTTCTCCTCCTCCTCCTCCTCTTCCTCCTCCACTTCCTCCTCCTCCTCCTCCTTCTCCCCCTCCTCCGCCTCCTCCTCCTGTTCCTTCTCTTCCTCCTGCCCTCATCCTTCCTCCACCACCAAACGCAATCCTCCACCTCCTCCTCCTCCTCCTGGTGTTCCTCCAACTCCTCCTCCTCCTCCTTTTCCTCCTCCTGGTCCTCCTTCTCCTCCCTCCTTTCCTCCTCCAACGCCTCCTGTTCCTCCTCGTCCTCCTCCTCCTCCTCCTCCTCCTCCTCCTCCTCCTCCTCCCCTCCTCCTCTCTCTCCTCCTCTCCTCCTCCACCTCATCCTGCTCCTCCTCCCTCCTCCTCCTCCTCCTCCACCTCCTGCCTCCTGTGTCCTCCGACTCCTCCCATCCCCCTCCCTCCTCCCCTATTTCGCCCTTCTCCTCCTCTTCCTCCTCCTCCTCCTCCTCCTCCTCCTCCTCCTCTTTCTCTTTCTCCTCTTCCTCCTCTTCATCCTCCTCCTCCTCCTCCACCTCCTCATCCTCTCTTCCTTTCCTCCAACCGTCATCCTTCCCCCACCACCAAAACGCAAACCTACTCCTCCTCCTCCTGCTCCTCCTGGTCTTCCTCCCCCGTCCTCCTCCTCCTCCTCCTCCTCCTCCTCCTCCTCCTCCTCCTCCTCCGGCTCCCTCTACCCCTTTGTTTGACCTTGACCCCCTTCGCGGTCATGCCAAACATTATTGTGACAGCTGGGAAACACACGTATACAAGTGCACCCCAGCATCACAAGGATTTGAACCGACGTGTTTGTACAAATCACGCATGCAAGCCTTTCATCAATAGCGACCTCGGCTCGAGTGCTCCAGATCTTCCATCGTTCCCAAGGCCGCACCCGACACTGCGCGCATGGTCAGACCTGCCTGTGCTTATCAAGGCTGCTCGTGCATCCAGCTCTCCACGGTCCATGATCTTCTGGATTTTCGCTCGAGTCCCTGCCCGAGTTTCGTCCTGACAGGCACCATGGAAACTCATGGGGCAACAGGGAAACCGCTGCAACCTTTTTTTGGTTCGAATGCCTGTTTCGCGGCAGCCTGTGACATAGACGGCCTCTCCCACGTCAACGACGGCATGCTCGCTCTGTTCAGGGCCACGTGGCTAGAGCGTGATAGGCGCCACCGCGCGCGGCTGCTCTTGGATCATAGTCCAGCAATCCCTCGCCGTCGTCCCAGAGGAAGGCCCCGTCCCGCTGAAAGCGGCGGTCGCCTCTGTCATGGCTGATACTTTCTTTTGCGCAACTTCGAAGGAGATGGACAAGGTCACACAGAAAATCCGTCGGATTGTCACACAGAAAATCCGTCGGATTGTCTCTGCCGCGAAAAGCTGGCAGGAGTATGTCTGGCTCGTCCACATTGGGCGGGCAACTGATTCGTTAGAAGCTGTGTGCTCGCTCCTCGAGGGGCCGGGCCGCTTGCGGTACGATCGCGGCACCATCAACGCAGACGGGCTTGACTCTCCCCTTTCACACACACAAGCCTTAGATATGGAATCGTCCATGGGGAGAGCAAACGCGAATTACGACAGCGCATCATTGGCATCAGAGATATTTTGCGCTCTCTGCCTGCAGGGTTTTTGAATGGATCCGCTTAGGATTTAACACAGACCGCTCGCATCTTCAAGACACGGTGTCCTATTAAGGCGGAGAACGCATCCGTTGTCATGTTTCACATGCCGCAAGCTACGGCCGACCAGTGGCCTCAAATGAGCACGACAGATCGTTTGTGGACCTTCTTCATGTCAACTGGCGGCACTCGCCACTTTCACGCCTGACAGATGTGCATGGACTTCCCCGCAAACGCGCGCGAAAGCACCAGCATGCGCGCAGTGGGCCCCAGCTGTTACATTTTCCTGAGGCTGACACACCCTGGCGCCAAGTTTCCAGCCACTTGGTCTTCGTCACAAAAACCGTCTTTGGCCATCCGTTTGGTGGAGTATTGGCGGACACGTCCGGAATTTTATGGATTACGCTTCCCACGGCCATCGCTAAGCTTCCACGATGCGGAGCATTGGTGCTGCGAGGCCCTGAAGGCTGCGAAAGCATTGTGCAAAACTGATGTTTTGCACCGCGTCGGGGAGGTGCAACACGTGCTCAACGGCACTGTGCCCCCTCCCTCCGCCCGCGGCAAATCCCAGCTAATCGCCAGCAAATCCTGCGCCTCCCCCTATGCACATGTGCGGCCGTTTGCTCAACGACTGGCTGATAAGCATGCATTGTCGGATGGAGGACGAGCGCATCTTCAACCTGCGGGCGCAACGGCGAAAGATGATGGCCCAGCGCGAAGTGCTGTGCGAGGAGACCTGCCAACGACGACGCCACAAGCGCAGGCCTCGGCAAGCGCTTCTACCTCCCTTCCAGCGTGCATAACTCCCCCCGACACCTCCGACGTCTCCGAACCGACGCTCTGGAACTTGCGCGACCCCGAGGGCCTCCGACTTGTTTCAACACCGTCACGTGCAACAAGTACTGGCCATAAATTGCTGACTCACTGCGACCCGGCCAATGGGCCGCGGACCGTCCACGCATCGTCGTCCGCGTGTTCCATGCCCGCCTGCAGAAGCACGTGACTTATCAACCCGCCTTCGGCCCTTCCCGCCGCGCCGCTGCTGGCGCGTTGCTTCAAGACCCGACATGACGTGCCCCTGGGCGCCTCAACCGCCCCGAGCTGAAAGTCCGCGGCCTCCCCGAGACGCTCTGCCTCAATGACGTTCACCCCCCTGGCGGTCGCGCTGGCCTCTGGGGGCCGACGCAGGGGCCTCCCCGACGGGTTCTTCAAACTTTCTCGACCCACCTGAGACGATGTGAACCCCCGCCCCCCCCCCGCGGTCATGCGCCCCGTCAGAGCGCGCGCCGGGCCTCGAGCCGCCCCAGGCGAGCTCCCGCCCCCCCACTGCTGCCGGCGCTGTTGGAACAAACGAACTCCA